GAAAACGAAGTTTGGGAAACTGTAGCAATTAATTCTTTGGGGTTATCTGAAGAAACCCCACGAAAAGAACAAGGAATAAAAAAGTCACAGCCATTGTCATCAGCTGACATATTAAAGAATCGTCTTTGTGCACAATATCTAATAGAAATTATCCTGAAGAATATATAGAAATGCAGAATATTAACCTTAGCTGTATAAAAAACTCGACCGCAATTGAACCCAAAGTAACCAATAATACTTTGTATACCACGGATGCAACCAAAACAAATTCTACAATTGAAACTCAATCATAAGACTTTTCGTCCGATTGTCTACCACCTGACTCAAATGGTATGGTAATACACAACGTTTCTGGTTACACATCCGTAAAAAACCCACAAAAACTACAGAAAACAGGATCAACTAGCGGGATTAGGTCGCCGCCTGTCATTGGACAGATTAGAAGAATCGTCATGGAGAGCAATATCTAATAGAAAGTCCCCTGAAATGCGGACTACAGATCAATTCCACTTCAAAAATTGCAAATGAACCACAAGAAACCAGTGACTGTGTAGGTTTTACGGATATAAGCACAATAAATTCTACAATCGAAACTTTGACAGGAAATTCTACGTCAGAACAACAATAGCACAAATGTGAGCTCCTTCATAGAGGTTATACCTAAACCAGTAAAAGTCGATGTTTTGACAGTACCATTTTCCAAGCAAAAATCAAAGCAACATTTCTGTGTATTTTGCAAAACCTTACAATGTAAGATTGCTCGACACTTTTTTTGAGGCACAAAAATTAGAATATGGTTAAAATGGAAATGGCCTTACCAAAAGGAAACCGAAAGCGAAGAGAAATATTTGATAAGCTCCGAAAAAAACGAGATTTTATACATAATACCGCTTATGATAAAAATACAGGTTCACTTATCGTTACAAGACAACAACAATCAGAACCATACCATAAAGCAGACCACGTATGCTGCGTCCACTGTAAAGGGTATTATAGCATCACTTCGGCAAGAGCTCATATTAGTAAATGCTCTAATAAAAAAAAAATAAACGGAACAATTTCATTGAAGGTAGGAAAATCACTCAATACGTACACGAATTGGCAAACACAGAAATGAAAACAGCGATTTTTCCCGTTCTACGAAACGATGAAATTACACAGGCCATTCGTTATGACGAACTAATAATTAGATACGGCAAAAGGTTATCCGAAAAGTTACCTGATATTCACCACCATGATCAAATCCGAACGAACATGAGACTCTTGGGTCGATTCAAAATTGAGTGCATAAAATTACATCCTGAAATAAAGGAGTTGAAGGAAAATTTTAAGCCACATTTGTTTGATATGACAATTGAAGCATTACGCAAAACTGCAAAGTGGGAGTTTGGTCGGCGGTTTTCTACTCCAGCAGTTGCCACCAACTTATCTGGTTTGATAAAAAAAAATATGCGAACATACAAAAGAAAGACCTTTTGGACAATTTCGTTTCATTGTGGGTTGAAGAGACTCCCACTCAAATAAATAAAACAGCTATTGGAGATAGAGAAAACAAAAAAAATATCTAAGAAAGAAGATTTGCCAAACAAAAAAGATATCAAACAACTTTATGATTTTCTAAGAAACAAAATGGTATATTCTATAGCTACATTAACTAAACAATTTATCTTTGATGATTGGAAAAATCTTTTGGAAACTACTCTAATATGTCTACAAGTGTTCAATCGACGACGAGCCGGTGAGATCGCAAGAATAACTATTGAAAACTACAATAAGAAGGAAACTATTACTGACAATATAGAAGCTGGATTTCTTGATAATATTTCTAACCAATCTTTTCAATAGGGTTCGTCCTTGGGCCAAACAACTATTGTGTGCTAAATTCCATCTCGATCAGATAATAAATGCGACCTACAGTTTGTTTACAAAAATACATGGACAGACGGACAGACAGACGGACGGACATGCATAAATCGACTCAAAATGTGATTCTATGCATATCACCAAAAGGAACTATGGGTCTATCTCGTTTCCTTCTCCATGTTACAAACAAATGCACAAATACATAATACCCTTACCACAATGTGGTGTAGTGTATAAATATCGGATATTGGAAGATACCGTTACATGAGGGCTATACGAAGACGAGGACCTGCATTAAGTATTTTTCTGTAATATGCTGTTGTACCCATTGTAAACTACAAATACGAAATTTGAAACAATTACTGGGAGGTACCGTTATGTGGGGTCTATACGAAGACGTAGACCAGCATAGATAATTTTCGGTCATAGGCTCTAGTATTTAATTTAAACTACAAACACGAAATTGAAACAATTCAGGTAAATAAATTGTCTAATATCATAAAAATACCGAATACTGGGAGGTATCGTTATATGGGGATATACGATATGGGGACCTGGATAGGTGATTTTCAGTCATAGGCTTAAGTACCCATTATCAACTACAAATACGAAATTTGAAACAATTCCGGTAAATAATTTGTTTAAAATCATCAAAATACCGAATATTGGGAGGTACCGGTATATGGGGTCTATACGAAGACGTGGACCTGCATAGGTAATTTTTGGTCATAGGCTGTAGTACCCATTTTCAACTACAAATACGAAATTTGAAACAATTCTGGTAAATAATGTGCTTAAATCATCAAAATACCGAATATTGGGAGGTACCATTATATGGGGGCTATGCGAAAACGTGGACCGATATGGCCCATTTACGAACTTAACCCGCCTACTGGAAAAATATAAATGTGTGCAAAATTTCAGCCTTCTATCTCAATTCGTTCGAAAGACATACGGACATCGCTAAATCGACTTAGAATTTTACGCTGATTCGGAATATATATACTTTGTAGGGTCTAAAATGAGTATTTCGAGGAGTTACAAACGGATTGACAAACTTAATATACCCTACATAGTATGGTGGAGGGTATAAAACAACACAAAAATTTTTGGTTTTATTTTACTAATAAATATTCATAAAATATTATTACTGTTTTTAAAACATAATTTGGATGTTATTGAAAAATTGATCAAAACACACATTAACGCGCAAAAAACACAAAAGTTTGTACAGAAATCATGAATTTGCACCTAATGTCTTTAAAAAATTCAATTCAATGAACTCTTGAAGACAATCAACATATGTGCACTCGTCATTTCCATGATTTTCTTTTTTCTTTGATTCAAGGCTTTCAGGTACACCAAGCGAAGTGTTTTTTAAATTCCGCACAAGGTGAAGTTAGTTTTTAACAAACATAAAAAAACCTGCAAAAGAAAAATGTTTAATATTTGCAAACGATGATCTACGAACATGCACTTACACTTTCCATTTGAATATCGATGAACTGGGCCTCCTGGCATTTGATTTATTTTACTCCTCAGGTAAACAAGATTTTCATTGTGGAAAACACTGTAAATGGTCAATATTTTTCAAACGTTATCCAAAAAACTGTTGTGTTGTTCTTAAAAATGCATATGGTTATTTCCCATATACTTTCGGTGGCCAATAATTTTGGTTGAAAATAGAGTACATCGGCTGAAAAGTTGCGACCCCATATAGGACAAAAATATATGTAAATTATTTGGAGCTACACTAGAATAGTGGAAACCCACCTGTCTGACACCCAAAAAATCTTTATTTAAATTCCTGACCAGAATATCACAAACCGGGTGCCCTGCTCATAAGTCTCTTTTATGTCTTTGTGTTTGCGGGAGTCCATACACTTATATATGCATTATTATACCCTCCACCATACATAGTATGGAGGGTATATTAAGTTTGTAATTCCGTTTGCAACACCTCGAAATATATATGTGAAAATCACTCTAGCTTACGAACGAAATGACATAGGTTGATGAAATTTGCTCAGATGTATATAATGTGTGCAGGACTTTTGGTGTTGAAAATGGGCCATATAGGTCGACGTCTTCAAATAGCCCCCATATAACGGTACCTCCCGATATTCGGTATTTTGATGATTTTAGCGACATTTTTCACCGGAATTGTTTCAAATTTCGTATTTAATTTTCGCAATGGGTACTACAATCTACAACAGAAAATTGCCTATGTAGGTCCATATTTTCGGATAGCCCCCATATAAGTTCGGCCCGGCCTGCTTATTTACGTGTTTTTACTTTAATTTTACGTATTCTTCAATAGATGTAAAATAACCCTCTCTATAAAACAAAACTTAAAACTTTTATTTTATTAGTTAATTTTTTAAAATTTCGTTGAAAGTTTTTTTTTTAGTTCAACATGTTTTCCCTAGTAAAGTTTGACAATGACGGTGACTATGTTGTCAAAACAAAAGACGTGAAACATCACAATTCCGACAATTGTATTGTAAAGTATAAAGCCTGTTCGTACTCCGCAATTTTCATTAAAGCTGACGGTAAGTTAATACAATTTAATATACAAAACATATTCAAATATTTAAACCGTTTTTTAAATAAGAGTATAAATTATGTGTCTCTGCGACACATTGGTTTCCATGACATGCCTGTATATTGTGAAATCATGATAATAACTTTTTTTTCATCGCATGTCCTTGTCAGCATGCAGAGAGCATGAAAAATTATTGTTAAAATATGCAAAAATGATTTTTAAGAAAAAAAAGGTGAATAAAAATGATATAATTTTCAAACCCGCGTCGGAATTTTATAAATATTGCTCGAATTTTATTTCCAAAAATATTTGTAAAATTTCTGAAACAAATTTCGCCACAAAATGGAAAAAACGATCATTTAGATCGTGCTACTTTGTCCAAAAAATGAATAAAAACAATCTTAAAGCATCAGAGGCGCCATTTTTTGCCATTAATTTTCATAGATAATAAAGAAAATCTTGAAGAGAAGAAACAAAGTGAATTCCAAGAATTCCTGCGAGCTGTGGTCGTGCTTATCAAAATATTTTACCGTCGACAACGTTATACATGAAAGAGTATATAAAAAATCTACCTCCACTAGGATCAAACAGATCAGATATAGAGCCTATGTCTTCAGTCACTATACATGGTGAAAATAACGCATCGGATTCGGAAGAGAATAATACGACAGATTTTTCATCTTTTGAAACTGTATCAAGAGGACAATTTGATTTATCAAGGTAAGCATACTTAGCCCAAAAACCATAAGTTTATGGGAGAAGCAAGAAACGTTTTAAAAATAAAACTAAAAATATCTATCAAAAATAATTGACACTAAATATTTTTTTTATTATAGATTATTTAAATTCTCCTTGATCACATATGACGATTCAGAATTTTGTGTCGTAAATTCCAAATCTATAACACAAATCCAAGGAGATACGTGTGTGGTGAAATGTAAAGGCGGAAAATATGCAGCTAAATTAATTTCGACTAGCGGTAAGCTAACAAAAATAGCTATATAATTTTTATAATAGATATAATTACTGTATATTGAAAAATCATGGTGATGATGCAATTATTAATTAATCCTAGCATTGTTTTTTTGGAATCAAATTTGATTTCAAATATAGAAATATATATTTGGGGAAAGTTTGAACATAGTATATTTTTGTAGATGACAAATTACAACTTTTTAAACAAAAGCAAATAAAAGTAAATGCAATTTCACCGCCGGAAATCAAAAATAGTAATTCGGAAGAAAAATCAAAAAATAATTCAGATCCATCAGAAATTTTTTCATCAACGGAGCTATTAGAAATATCAATGGACTTAAATTGTCCATCTAAAGCATATATTCAAAGTTTTACTGTGGAAATATGCACTGAATGGGAGAGGTCAACAACTGATGAACCAGAAAACGAAGTTTGGGAAACTGTAGCAATTAATTCTTTGGGGTTATCTGAAGAAACCCCACGAAAAGAACAAGGAATAAAAAAGTCACAGCCATTGTCATCAGCTGACATATTAAAAGAATCGTCTTTGTGCACAATATCTAATAGAAATTATCCTGAAGAATATATAGAAATGCAGAATATTAACCTTAGCTGTATAAAAAACTCGACCGCAATTGAACCCAAAGTAACCAATAATACTTTGTATACCACGGATGCAACCAAAACAAATTCTACAATTGAAACTCAATCATAAGACTTTTCGTCCGATTGTCTACCACCTGACTCAAATGGTATGGTAATACACAACATTTCTGGTTACACATCCGTAAAAAACCCAAAAAAACTACAGGAAACAGGATCAACTAGCGGAATTAGGTCGCCGCTATTGTCATGGGACAGATTAGAAGAATCGTCATGGAGAGCAATATCTAATAGAAAGTCCCCTGAAATGCGAACTACAGATCAATTCCACTTCGAAAACTCAACGGCAATTGAACCACAAGAAACCAGTGACTGTGTAGGTTTTACGGATATAAGCACAATAAATTCTACAATCGAAACTTTGCCAGGAAACTCTACGTCAGAATTTCTACCCCGATTCTAGCAACAACAACAATAGCACAAATGTGAGCTTCTTCATAGAGGCTATACCTAAACCAGTAAAAGTCGATGTTTTGACAGTACCATTTCCAAGCAAAAATCAAAACAACATTTCTGTGTGTTTTGCAAAACCTTACAATGTAAGATTGCTCGACACTTTTTTTGAGGCACAAAAATTAGAATATGGTTTAAAATGGAAATGGCCTTACCAAAAGGAAACCGAAAGCGCAGAGAAATATTTGATAAGCTCCGAAAAAAAACGAGATTTTATACATAATACCGCTTATGATAAAAATACAGGTTCACTTATCGTTACAAGACGACAACAATCAGAACCATACCATAAAGCAGACCACGTATGCTGCGTCCACTGTAAAGGGTATTATAGCATCACTTCGGCAAGAGCTCATATTAGTAAATGCTCTAATAAAAAAAAATAAACTTAACAATTTCATTGAAGGTAGGAAAATCACTCAATACGTACACAAATTGGCAAACACAGAAATGAAAACAGCGATTTTTCCCGTTCTACGAAACGATGAAATTACACAGGCCATTCGGTATGACGAACTAATAATTAGATACGGCAAAAGGTTATCCGAAAAGTTACCTGATATTCACCACCATGATCAAATCCGAGCGAACATGAGACTCTTGGGTCGATTCAAAATTGAGTGCATAAAATTACATCCTGAAACAAAAGGAGTTGAAGGAAAATTTTAAGCCACATTTGTTTGATATGACAATTGAAGCATTACGCAAAACTGCAAAGTGGGAGTTTGGTCGGCGGTTTTCTACTCCAGCAGTTGCCACCAACTTATCTGGTTTGATAAAAAAAATGTGCGAACATACAAAAGAATGAGTTCATAAAAAATCAAAATATTGATATGAAAGACCTTTTGGACAATTTCGTTTCATTGTGGGTTGAAGAGACTCCCACTCAAATAAATAAAACAGCTATTGAAGATAGAGAAAACAAAAAAAGATCTAAGAAAGAAGATTTGCCAAACAAAAAAGATATCAAACAACTTTATGATTTTCTAAGAAACAAAATGGTATATTCTATAGCTACATTAACTAAACAATTTATCTTTGATGATTGGAAAAATCTTTTGGAAACTACTCTAATATGTCTACAAGTGTTCAATCGACGACGAGCAAGTGAGATCGCGAGAATAACTATTGAAAACTACAATAAGAAGGAAACTATTACTGACAATATAGAAGCTGGATTTCTTGATAATATTTCTAACCAATCTTTTGAATTCGCTAACAGTATGTAAGAATTACCCTATGAGGCAAATTAGGACGTACTGACAGCATATGCTGGATCCTTTAAGTAGAAAGGCAGTTGACCTTATATTAAAGCATCGCAATAGTGCTGGAATTCCGAAATCAAATCACTATATTTTCTCGGCTCCCGGATCATCAGCAATATCAAAAAAATATATAAGAGCTTGCCCGTTATTACGCTAGTTTGCCTTACAGTTTGGGGCCACTATTCCTCACACATTAAGAGGAACTAAATTAAGGAAGCATATAGCAAAGTATACAGCTTTGCTTAACGTTGAAGAAGCCACAGTGGATATACACAAAAGTATTTATAGAGTATCGGTACCAATGGCGGGAATCACTACAGTGTCCAAGATTTTGCTGTCAGCTGCTGGTTGTAGGAATGAGGAAAACTCCGAAAATAATAGTTTTGAGAATCTTCATGGAATATCTTCCGAATCTGAGTCATCATCTGATAAATCAGACAATATTACATATGGCGCACATTTGTTAAAAAAGAAAAATAGTAGTAAGTATAATAGGAAGACTAGTAGTTCCTACAGTAATAAACTTGATAGTAAGTATATTGAGTAGAAACTATAACTAAGTTTGCGTAGACATATGTTTCAAAATACATAAAAATACATATAAATACATAAAAATAATTTACCGAAAACCATGACCAAAATCAAATGCATTATGATCTAGCTTTAATTTTTTTGTATTCATGATTTTATATTTCATTTCACTTAACCCTCCTACTGATTATTAATGTGGCCTTGTTGGTCCACTCACAAAATTATTTAAACAGTACAAATATTTTTTTAGATTATGCTACCGGCACTTTCAAACTCCCCAAATTGTCTTATTTAAAATCCAGTAAAGATTTGATATCATGGCCGATTTGACATTTTACAGATTAATCACTAATGCAATAATAATTGACTGTTCCAGAAATGCAAGAATGTTAAATTTTTTAATACGATAACCTCTTTACGATATCGGAAAAAGTTGCAAAACTAGTAGATTCTTGCAGGTTCTGGAACAGAGCCAATAAAAACTATTTTTTCTATTATATTTTAAATCGGTTTGTTGTTTCCAATATATATAAACAGAGTACATTACTTGTTTTAAATATTTTTATATTAGATTTTCTAATCAAAAATAAATTTGGAGTACATATTTGTTTGCATAATTTATATTGCATTTGGTTTTGTTTTGGTCAGGTTTTTCGTGTGAAATTTTTCACTGTGCTATGCCCAAAAAAATGAATGCTAATGAAGAAAGATAAAACTGTTATATTCATAAACGACTTTAATTTTTTGTTCGCATTCATTTTCATTTGACATTATTAAATAGGATGTTTGTTACATCTGTTTTAGGCTTATGAAATGAATATAGTGTAATTTTTACAGATACTTCTTGCGGAAAAACAAAAAAATGCCGGTGGACAATCGATGAGCAAGAAGCTTTGACTGCTGAATTTGGGGATATTTCTTCAATGGAAAAGTTGCCATCTCTCAAGGAGTGCATGAGGGTCGTGTCTGAAAATGAAGTGCTACGCTGCAGAACCCCAGCACAAGTAAAAACGTTTATAGACAACAAACAGAAAAAAGGCAAAAAAATTAAGGTTGATATTAATGATGACATTAATGATTTTAATAAAGATATTAATGATGAAATTTTTCTTTCATTACAGCAATCTCTTCAACAATAATTTTCCAAAACCCTTTTCGGGTAGTTATTTTACAATGCAATCTTGTTAAATTAATATATGCACAATGTGCACTAAATCTTGTATTAATTTCATATTGTAGATACAAAACATTAGACCAACAATTTTTCCATTAGGTCTTGTAGTAAATTATTATACACATTATAATATAATTATAAATGTATACTTATATAAAAATAAGTCATATAATTTAATACAAACCGCTTATTTATATAAACTTCAAATGTTTATTTAAAATTAAGAGTGTAATAAAATTGCACTATAATTCTAACTGTATTATAAATATATAAAATATTAATAATATCGAAAGAAAACACTTTATATAAATCATCATATGAATTTTACACGTTTCTTTAAATTAAATTAATTTGTTTAAATTTATGTTTGCAATAAAAATAGTGTTTATATGAACAACTGACAATTACAATATATACAGTTGATTTTCACATATTTCATTATTCAGGAACTGATAAATAGAGCAATATCCATCATTAGAAATTGTGAGAGTCTACTGTACATTTGAGAACTTTTATTTTGTTACCTGTAAGTGTTGATTTTTTAAGTATTTTTCCGAGCAAATAATATATAAAAGTTTGGAATTTCTTATTGTACAATCAGTTTCTATAACAATTTACTTAGAATCAAAAAATACTCCGTTCCAAAACTTGAGCCTAATTCATAATAAAAATAAAATTCCGTTGTCTACTGATAACCTACACAACTTTTCTACACGCGGATCAAAATTCATTTGATTATCCTAATCCTAAATTATTATCCTAATAATAATTTCATGAGAAGGTTGAAAAACATTGAATTGACAGTAATTCCTAAGTTATTCAGAAAAATGTTTTTTTGATCCTAATTTTCATGATTAATATTTCTCTACCACAGAAAACATAGTAAATCAAAGGACAGGGAGTAAAACATCATTGACGGAGATGTTTGTTATAACGATATCAAAGTAGACACTAAAATCAAGGCAGGTTAGAAAATTTTTACTTAGGCCCCTTCTATAACCAAGAAAAAAACGTATACAGTCTTCATTACAGAAGACGACAACAAATGTCATATTATATACAGAAGAAAAAGTTTAAAAGTTTTAGAGAGGAAAACGCAAGTTGTATTTTTTGCAAAAGAACGAAGTAATAGTAGCCTTCTAATTAAAAGAAGATTGTCTGTTATTTGAAATTCAAGGTTTCTTGGGTCTACATGCCCGTTTATTATTGTCGCGCAATAACGCGTTCATTCATTCACGCGTTGTCTTAAAGCATTTTATAGTGTGCGAGCACATTTGCATACCGAATGGACTCTAATTTTGCATTTAAGGGGTCTACTTAGCAACATATGTCCAAATTTTGGTGTATACGTCTTAAAAAGCGACGAAGTGAGAAATGCTAATTTTTACATTTGGGGGAAGACAATTCGACATGGGTAAGTTAAATAGTTAATGTTTCATGAGTATACAACATTCCAGTCAAAACTTGTGGACATAGGTCCAAAATTTGCCATAGACCACAGAAAGCGCGCCAAAAACTTGAACCATTGTTTCAAAGTATTTTCCAGTGTGTGTGTGCATATTTGCATTTTGCAATTTAGCATGGACATATTAGTCCAATATTTTGAATTGTTCATAACGCTTATCTGTCTGTTGTAATCACGCTATCATTCAAAAGAAATATAAATTTGAACACATTTGTATTTTGCCAGAAGGGGGTTAATTTCGTAAATGAGCCATGTAGATAAATATTTTCATATATCCTCCATATGCTGCAGAATTGAAGTGCTAGTGATTCAAAGTGGCGGGGAGAAAACATTGTAGTTGATATTGTTAACAAGAAATCTGCTTAAATATCGTCCATAATGACATTATAAAGAAGTGAGACATTCAGTATTTTGCTACGGCTTTCCACAGTTGCTGCTAACTGTTGATCATCGAGAGTCTATTAGAGTATGGTGGAAGCTTTTTATATGAAAAGTTCAAACATAGTAATCATCAAAATACCAAATATCGGAAGATTCCGTTATATGGGGTCCATAACAAAACGCTGACCCATACATACAGTGATCCCGATGTAGAACTATTATGACCTACAAATACCAGTTTTTAGACAAAGCTGCGAAAAAATGTGACAAAAATCATCAACATACCGAATCGGGACGTACCGACCTAAAAATAACTGTTTTAGAAAATGTGACAAAAAACATCAAAATACCGAATATCGGGAGGTGCCGCCACCGGATTAAGAACCCATTACGAACAAACAAAAATCATCGTAATACCGAATATCTGGAGGTAAAGTTGTATGGGGGCTGTGCAAAATCATGGACCTATACATACAATGTTTCGCCACCGTAGCTGGAGCCCACTATACAAATACCAATTAGACAAATCCGTACCAATTTTTAGACAAATCCGTAAAAAATGTAACAAACCCGTCAAAATACCAATATGACCTACAAATACCGATTTTTAGACAAAGCTGCGAGAAAATGTGGTAAAATCATCAAAATACCGAATATTGGAATGTACCGTTATATGGGGACTATACAAGATCGTGGACCTATACACATAATGTTTCTAAGCCGGAGCTGTAACCCATTATGACCAACAAACACCAATTGTTAGAAATACCGAACATTGGAAGGTACCATTACATGTGGGCTATACCAAAACATAGACCGATACATCTCATTTTCAATACCAACCATTCTAAACACAATATAAATTGGTCTGAAGAATTTGAAGCTCTACATAAAATAATGTGGCTGTATCGGTATTTCAACAGACAGAATTTTGTGCTGATTGTGTATAAATTACCCCATAAAGAATTTATACACAATCAGCACAAAACATATCTAAATATTCTACGACGAATATTTAGATATGTTACAAACGGAATGACTAAGCTAATATACCCTCTTTTCTAAGGTGGAATGTGTAATAAACAATATAAGGAGACAGGATGTGCTATTGAATACGGAAGATATTTTGTAGAACGCTCTGAATATACTACTCTGAATAATATTTGCAATTCAAATTTTACAATTACAAATTTTTCAATTCGAAACGCGAACTCAGTTATTTTCCACCAAATTATAAGTACGACGGTGCTGAATCCTGTGATAGGCTGTTATAACTAACTTGTTTGCAGATTTAGCGGTACCTCCCGATATACGGTATTTCGATGATTTTTGCCAAATTTTTCAACGGATTTGTCTACAAATTAGTATTTGTAGTGCATAATGGGTTCTAGTTTGGGTGGCGGATCATAGCATATATGGGTCAGCGTTTTGTTATGGCCCCCATAAACGGTAACTTCCGATATGTTTGTATTTCGATGATTTTTGCCACATTTTTCCACGGATTTGTCTAAAAATTGGTATGTGTATTTCATAATGGGTTCTAGATATGGTAGCGGATCATAGAATATAACGAGTTCTAGCTCCGGTGGTGAAACATTGTATGTATAGGTCCATGTTTTTGTATAGCCCCCATATAACAGTATCTCCCGAAATTCGGTATTTTGAGAAATATTTTTAAGTTTTTCTCGGATTTGTATAAAAATGGTTATTTGTAGGTAATAATAGGTTCCAGATCGTGCTTCGAAACATTGTATGTATAGGTCCATGTTTTGGTATAGCCTGCATACAACGGTACCTCCCGATATTTGGTATTTTGATGATTTTTGACACATATTTCCACGTATTTATCTATAAATTTGAGTTTGTATGTCACAATAGGTTCTAGCTCCAGTGGTAAAACATTGTATGCTTAGCTCAACGTTTTCGTATAGCCCCCATATAACAGTATCTCCCTATTTCGGTAGTTTGAGGATTATATATGATTTTGTTGATTTTTTTCACGGATTTGTATTTAAATTGATATTTGGTGAAATATTGTATGCATGGCTCCACGTTTTCGTATAGCCCCCATATTACAGTATATCCCGATATTCGGTATTATGAGGATATTTTTAAATTTTTCAGGGATTTGTATAAAATTTAGTATTTGTAGTTCATAATGGATTATTGATCCGGTGGTGGATGATCATAGTGTGTATGAATCAACGGCTCGTGTGGCGAAACATTGTACGTATAGATCCATATTTTGTGTAGCCAGCATATAATGATTACTTCTAAAAATGGGCATTTGTTAGTCAAAATAGTTCTAGATCGTGTGCCGAAACATTGTATGTATACGTCCATGTTTTTGTATAGTCCCATACAAGGGTACCTCCCAATATACAGAATTCCGATGATTTTTCCACGGATTTGTCTAAACATTGGTATTTGTAGTTCATAATGGGTTCTAGATCGTGTGGCGAAACATTGTATGCATAGGTCCATATTTTGGTATAGTACACATATAACGGTACCTTCCGATATTCGGTGTTTTGATGGCTCTTGTCACATTTGTTCACGGATTTGTCTAAAAATGGATACTTGTAAGTCATAATAAGTTCTAGATCGTGTGGCGAAACATTGTATGTATAGGTCCACGTATTGGTGTAGTACACATAATCGGTACCTTCTGATCTTCGGTGTTTTAAAGACTTTTGCCACATTTTTTCAGGTGTTTGTCTAAAAATGGATATTTGTAAATCATAATAAGTTCTATATCGTGTGGCGAAACATTATATGTATAAGTCCACATTTAGGTATTGTACACATATAACGGTACCTTCCGATATTCGGTGTTTTAATGACTTTCCATATTTTTCACGGATTTGTCTAAAAATGGATATTTGTAAGTCATAATAAGTTATAGATCGTGTGGCGACACATTGTATGTATAGATCCATGTTTTGGTGTATTCCCCACATAACGGCACCTCCCAATATTCGGCATTTTGACGATTTTTGCCACATTTTTTCACTGATTTGTTTAAAAATTGATATTTGTAGTTTAAAATACTAAAACCCATTTTAAGCTACAAATATCCATTTTTAAACAAATTTAAACAATGTTTCCGTTGGTGAAACATTGTATGCAAAGCCACACATTTTTGTATAGCCAACATATAACAGTATCTTTGTATATTCGGCAATTTGAATATTATCACTGTTCTTAATCCGGTGGCGGATCATACCATAT